CACCCAGGGTCCTCACTTAATGGCTCATGCTCTCTCTGGAACCTTGCTTGCAGAGCTGAAGCCCAAGTGTGGAACAGCTCAAAGTCCCTTCCACCTTCCCTGCTTCTCTGAAGTGGGTCTCTGCCTCCCTCCATGCTGACTTGAATCCATTCTGGTCAATTCTCACACTTGCATTTGGGAATGGTTATTTTTATCTACAGAAGAAGGGGGCAGGGTTGATGCCAGGGGAATTTTTATGGTTTAGGGATAGACAAGAAATTGAGGTGATCTGGATGGGATGTTTGCTTGGCTCAGCCTCATGTTCCCCAGAGAGTATTGGATGCTCCTCTGTTTAAAAATCTCTGCAATAAGGTTGGACTTAAAGCAATGCTGCAAACCAATCAGATGTGATAGGCCCAACTTGGGAATTGCTGAGAATTTAGACTAGATGACTAGACTTCTTTGACTTCAGCAGTAATTCCTAATCATGGTGTGTTTCTCATTGTTTGAGGCTTCTGGTGATTTGCTCTGTTGATTTATGTGGTCTTTCCATTTATCAACTAAACTATTGGGCAAAGAAGTACCAATCCTTCCAGAGGCCATCACGGCAAGTGGGGGCAACCTTTTTATCCAGCTGAGCTTGGATCCATTTCTTTTAGCAACACTGAGGGATTGCTGGTGGTTTTGCAAACTATTTCTGTTTTCTGCTGTGACTGCTGAGTTATGTTTTGCGAGAGAACTTTGCTGCTTTGTTCTTGTGCTACACATGCATGTGTACCTTCTTGGTGGAAAGAGCAGGAGTAAATCACTGCAGGCAGCAGCCTTGCAACACTGTAGATGTGATTCTTGCGCATGGTAGTAGAGGACAGTTTGATGTGCTCTTTGCAAGTAATACGCAGTTTCTTTTTCACTCATTGTAGGTGGAGGAGAGACCACTGAAGCCAGTCTGGGAATTAATGGTGATCAAACCTCAGACAGCTGCTGACACCAGCCAGTGATGGAAGTACTGTTAGTAATATAGGTGTTATGAAATTTGGTTTGCAAGGATTTCAGTGCTGCTTAAATATTAAGCTCATGGCATGGGTGCTTTGTTTGTCTAGTTGGGAGCATTGATCTGAAGATGGGATGATGCAATGCACAATGATTTGCTGATGCCAATAGATTTGTTATATTGCAAGTCAAGACCCTGTACTATTTGAACACCAGATACTGGACAAATAGGTATTAGGAAACAGACCTGGCACCCCGGCCCATTTCTAGTTTCTGTCTTTCCCTGCCTTTGTGCTTATCTTTGTCCTTACTATTTTCAGCTTCATTTTCAAACCAGCTTGTAATTGCAGCCCTACCTAATGGCCAGGCAGGTCTTGCTCTTGGTGGTCTCCAGCTTCCTTTTCTTCTTTACTTAATGCCTGCCTTAGTTAGCAAGACTTGTCAGCACAATGAGCCTGTTCATTAACAGCCCTATTTTTCTTCCTCTGAAACTGTATGAAACTCTTACCTGTTTGCAGCAGATCTTTGTGTGGTACTGAGTGTTAAGCTGATGTTAGGCTTGATATTCCATACTATGCATATTCATGAAGTGAGTGATTTTCAGATGTGCTTAATATCTGCTGCCAAATTTAAGGTGCCACTCTGGCAATGCTCATACCAGGCTGTGACTATGGTAAGAACAAAGATGCAGGTTTCATGGCAGGACAGTACATCAGAGAGCAAGACTGAGACAAATATTATAGTAAGGGGGGTTTTAAGACTATTTAAACCACCCAGTTTTGTGTTCATGTCAATTTTAATTCTTCAACTAGTTAATATTTTGGGTAAAAGAAGACTTTTCTTTGGGAAAAGATCCCAAATCCATCTTTTAAATGAGTTACTCAAAATTACGATAGACTTCAGCTCCTTTAGTGGACTCTAAACAGGCTAAACTTTGTAACTCCTGAAATACTTCAGGGAGCTGCAGAGAGGGGTCAGTTGCAAAGATTCAAAAATAAAAGTAATGAGTATTTTGTTTTGAAAAAGCTTGAGCAGCACATGGGAAATTATTTATTACATTTCTTCACTGTTTCAAGATAGTTTTTTAGAGCAACTGGCTGTAACTGAGCTTTTCAGGAATGCTGGCTCAATATGCTGCCTTATAGGTTTTGAAAGCATTTCCTACAGATGAGTCCTTGTTTTTACCTGTGCAGGTAAGACAGAAGCTTTTAAGTATATAACCTTACCCTGGTGCTCTCATGGTATTAGGACTTGGTGGATCTTCTTTCCCTCACCTCTGGGCCGTTTCCCTGACTAGCGCTGGCAGTCCTCTTCTGCAGAGACATAAGGACTGTCCAAGTTTGCTCTATTAAGCTTGCCCATGATGTTGCAACTGGCACTAACTGGCCTTTTTGGTGACAGCTTTTGCCAAGAGATGAACTGTGGAGCCTGCACTCCACCGTGCTCCAAAGGTAGCAGGGAACAGAAACATGCTGTCCAGTCAGTTTGAGGAAAGCTGATGCCACTATTGCTTGGTCTATAAACAAAGGATTTCTGTTTCCAAAGCTGAGAAGCCCCAGCCTTTTTCCAAGCTGTGACTCTGTTTGAAAAACAAGCCTGGACCCAGTGGGGTGAGTGATTTGTGTAGTCACTGGTGTGGTTTGCCCACAGTTTCTCTGGGCTTGGCAATAGGCTTGACTTCTGTCCTAGAATAACAGGAGGGGCACAGCAGTTAGCTGACTTAGCAGTTAGATGACCCATCACGACATATTGAGGGGACCCTTCCTGTTTGTTAGTTACCTGAGAGCAGGTGGGAGGGCTGTGGGGGGAACCACAAGGGCAGCTTTGGCCTTGAATTCTTGTTTTGTTAATGGGCTCATTCTGAGGTGTAGGATGTCCTGCTCAGCCTGTCATTCCGTTCCAGCGTGTCATTACCCTCAAAGCTTAGAAGCAGGAGTATCTTCCAGCACTGAGTTCAACTAACCAAGTCCCTACTGCTGAATGTCGTTATATCCTTGTCAGCAAGGCTGATAAACCTTTCCTTCCACACCCAGTGTTGTTTCTTCCCCCACCTCATGGTACTTTTCCATGTGCAAGTTAGACCTGACTGCTTTATTTCTCATCTGAAGATGCTTCCACACCATTATTACAGAAGCAATAGGGAATGTGTACTCAAATAAAGGATTTAGCAACATCAATTTTCAAATTATTTTTTTAAGTGGTTAAGCAAGTTCTTTGTATTTCTGTATTTTTAATATCAACAAGGTAGCTGAAGAGAACAGTTACAGTTGTTCTCTACTTTCCAGCAAGGGATCTCTATTTCCCATGGTAATTATTTTGAGGATGTATCAGCTTGGTTTCTTGGGAAAAAGGAACATTTGCTCTTCTAGGAAACATTTTCAGTGCCATTGGTCTAAGAATAGCAATCTTCTTTCTATTGCATCTCGAATTTCAGAAGTATGGCTTATCTTTTATTGTGCACGCAGTATGGAGATTATTTTAGATGAAATACCACTCTGTTCTGCTGAAGCATGAACAGCTTATAGTGGCTCATTCTGTGGTTGGTTGTGTTGGATTTTTCCTGACCAAAATTAATTCACGAATAAAGGAACCCAACATGGCCTCTTCTCTCTGAGCACATCAGTTCCTTGAGGACCCCGATGGGAACAACAGTGCTGAAATAGTTGAAGTGGCAAGCAAGTCCCTGGCTGCACATTTAAGCACTGAAAAACAACCCTATAGTTTCAGGCAACTCCCAAGAAAGAGACAAAGCTACAGCACTGGGGCCTAGGAGTTCTCTGTCATTGCAATGCTGGTGGAGCCAGCGCAGCTCACTCCCTGCAGAGCAGGCCAGGGCAGTGCCAGTTTTACAAGGGAAGTAAGCAGTGTGACTGACCAGAATGCTGTAAAGGCTGCAGAGCAAAAAACTGGAACTGTATCCTTTGCTCGGGACTTTGATGAGTCTGAACACAAGTGTTGGAGGCAGGCCATTACTCCTAAAGGACTTTTTGATCTAGAGCAGCTGTGAAGATATGTTATGTACCTTGGAGCATCTCAGAAGGGATAGGTGGAAGGCTGGATATCTAAGCTACTCCTTTGGTACCCAGAGCAGACACAAATACTGCCACAGTTCTCTCAGCTGAACTTAAGTCATTGAATCCTGCTGGGGACTGGCAGCAGAGGGGCCAGAATCCACCGAAAAAAGAGCTGGTCTAGGGTCCTGGGCTCTTGCTGTACCTACATAAATCCCTCTGGGCACAGCAGAGGGCAGGCACAAGGAGGCTGGCTTTCCTCATACCCCACCCTGCAGCAATCATACTGACAGGCTGCAGGGTCACCTCCTGCCAGAGGAATGTGTGTTCTCCTGCTCTTCACCTGTCAACAAGCACCTTGGTGCTCCCAGGGAAACAGAGAACCTTCCAAGGAAACCAACTGCTAATTAGATTTTGAAATAGTTGGGGTTTGGTTCTTTGTTTCTTCAGGTTCGCCTCCCTGCCAGCCTTGTTTAGGGAAGTTTTAATAGTATCTGGCTTCTCTTTGGTCTTGTGTACAAGATGAGGAAGTTTTCATCTGTGCCTTTAAAAAAAGCTCTGCATCCCTGCCAAGATTTATTAGGAGAGCTGTAAAAAAAGGAGTCATCATGTTCCAGGACCACGAGGCTTATGTAACAGGGAAATCCTAACGAAAAGATACTCCCCCACCCCGCGCATGCTTTTCCAAGGCACATGCCACTTCAGGGGTTTCAGTTGCTCAATTCGTATTTTGATCACATCTGCCACTGGTTTATTCAGATGTATTTACAAATATATTCTCCCACGTCCTCTCATTTGTACATGCCATAGAACGTTTCTATAAAATGCAGTGCGGACCTCACCTCACCACAAGGATCTTTAAATAAAATATATTGTAAAGTGCCAGATAATTATTTTAAAAAATACAGTTCTAATTAAAACAGATACTTGGCCACTGCATTAGCAGCTTCGTATACTGATACATTTTTAGCACAACAGTCTATTTCTGTCAGGTGAGCAGGAGGCTCTCATACCACCCCTCTAGCTCTCCAGTTTCAAGTCCAACGGCTTTAGAAAATGAGGCAGGGGCAGATTGTCCAGAGCCTCTGGGAAATGCTCAGGTGAAATGGTCCTGATCAAGACACGCATGGCTCCGACAAACAGTGACGGGGGAGCTAAGCCCACCAGGCACTGGAACCTGCTCACCCCCAGGAGGTCCTGCCACCGCTGCCGGTTGTCCAACAGTTGCTGTCTCATTGTGAACTGGAGGTCCTGAGGCACGAAGAAGAAGAGGCAGTCGAGGCAGAGGAGCTTGGCACGCGTGTTAGCTGCCGGCGCGTGGGAGATCTGCTGCAGCAAGGTGTCGAGCGGGGTATTCCCGGCGCTGTCCTGCAGGCAGGGCGACGCGCCGTGCCCGAGCAGCAGGAGCAGGCACTCGGGTCGCACCAGTT